CTGAATTTACATTTAGTTCGTTCGATCTTGATCTACTTTCCACGCAACACGTTAACTTATTCGGCTAATGTTTCATAGTCAGAGTTGGATTAGATGAAATTCTTTGATTATCCTTCTATTGTTTTCTCAAACAAATTGCAGTCGTTTTTTATATTAATCGGCTGATTAGATGGTTCGCAGCGAAGCGGCCAATCAGCAAGGCTGTTCCCCAGGTAAGTCATCGATCTTCTTAGAAAAGAAATTGATGTTACATTGGAACGAGTTGGGAACGAGTTAGTAGTAGTGGCAGGAGAATGAAGGGTTAAACGGATCTCGTTGCGACGTCGAGGTGATCTGAATGCACGTCGCTTCAGTGACGTATGTATACGCGCGATGCGATGCGTCCTTGTATGTACACGGCAACTCCTCCCAGGCCAAGCTCTATACTATACGTGCTTCCATAATCAGATGCAGCAACGAGCATTCAATTAGCCTGACCGGCTAATACATTCGGCACACCGTTCACGAAGATCGCAGTCAAGTGGAAAATTTACATCATTCACCTCCCACTCGGAAAAATTACTTCCATTCGAGAGCAAGTCGTACTTTTACGATTTTCGTGAAAATTAGGGGATGATTTAGGCGATTATTTGTTTCGAATGTAGGTATTGTAGGTACAGGATCTTAATGTTTCATGAAGCGGGATCGAACGATCGCGTTTATCAGAGATCACAGTGCGGAACATCATCGAATAATAGTTTCCTGGTTATTAACGCCACATCATTTACCCTCGTCCAATTTCCCTGAAATATTCATTACCGTATGCATTACGGAACACTGGGACGGACGATTCGTTTGCTAAATAATTCATTCCGTTCTAATATTCATATCGCTGGCGGTATGTATATCGCATTTTAGTCTTCTTCGCGTTTATTCAAGATTCATGCTCAATTGCAGAAGTAATTCATCGTTTCTTTGTCGTTAAACGATCTCTATACTGATTTAATTTAGAGAAGATTGGCAGAAGTATTTCTTGCAAAATTTGATCATTTTTCTCGCGCCAGCTTTATTCGCTTCCAAGGGTAAGAAAAAAGATGGCGTCTCGTTGAATGAACACCGAGCTCAGCGGTGATTTGTCACCTGGACGGTCCACCTTTTCTTTATAAGCAACTCGGTTTACGCATTAATCCTGTCGGATGAAAAAACCGTTTCAACACCGTGTACCGTCCACGTTTTAGTTCACTTTTTCTTTCTTACCACGAATCTTTCCTTTTTCTTCTTCTAAAACCCCGGTGTTTCTACGCGCAGGAAAATCTTTGCATACGTTAGCCACGTATACCGGTATATGTACATACACTGTACACGGTTGCGCAACTATGACACGCGAGCTCGTAATTAAGCCAAGCTTTAATTTATTACTTGTAATTCACGATTATTAAACATTGGGAGAAAGGGAAAGCTGAGCCCTGGGGAGAGGCTAACGGAGACGTGTAATTAGTGATAATTATGAAGGCAAACGAACACGAACAGGGTGAGCGACGATGAAGAAGGATGCGGAAGGAAAGAGGCGGCGAACGTATTACTGGCTGCTACGGCTAATAGTCTTGTCACGTTGATAACGCTCTAATCGCTGGAGCGTTGTTTTGCATCCGTTTTCGGCTGATTTATTGAATTTTCTCTTAATCCTGTGTAACGATGCGACACGTGTCTCTACATTCTTCGAGTCTAGCAATATTTGTATCACAGTACACCGTCCTAATAACTCGCGAACCTTACCGGAACAAGGAATTAAGAATGCAAGAATCTACGGGGGCGAAATAGAAGCGTGCGAAAGCGCATAAATATGCATAAAGGCGCGAGCAAGGCTCGTATCAAGGGAGGCGAGCAGCAAAAGCGGGATTAAGCGAAGGAAACGCGGCTTGGAACCGCCTTACTCTCTGTCTTACTTCCTGTTAATGAAACGTTTGATAAAAAGTTGAAGATTACCTACGTTGTAAGTACTTGGCTACGATAATTGCAGTGTCGCGCGGTGAAATGAAAGCCGGCCAACCACGAGAAATGATTAAATTCTAAGCGGCATGGAATGACGAGATTAAAAAAACTCGATTACGATTACGATTACGATTGCGATTGCGATTGCGATTCTAAACTGCCGGGGCGTGATCCGTTGCGATTTATATCGGGTAGAAATACAAACATACTCGTTTCACTGTACTTGCTATTTTTCAGAACGTAAACACGCGATTCTATTAACGCTGTCAAATTTCAATCAACCGGCTTAATGATCCTTTGCTTTAACGTTCAACGACGCATCGGCTGATTAATTTTTCCAAGAAAATTCAAGGATCATAATTTTTTTCGACTAAGCGCCAGTACAAACTGCCACTCTTTACCGTGAAATGATTTTTACAGCACAAACAAAGCCCGTGTTTCGCGTAATAATTCTCAACTACGTGGTCTTCGTCCAAATGAGCAGGCTAAATCAACTGTCAACCCCGCTACGTTAATAACATTTTATCACGGAAAACGCATTCGCGTTTATTAATTGTCCCATTTGCTGAAACTGCTGATCTTAATTCAAAAACTTCGCCTCTTATGAAACATCGTTATGTTTTGTTTTCGGCTGCAGAGAATGGTTGTACAGAGGAGTATCGTTTCTTTTGGAAACGTGACGAAATAAAAGTGGCACGGCAACTGCAACGTCGCGTCGCGTCGTTTGTTTCCAACGAAATATTCGTCAGGGTGGTCGTTGTTGCAGATAAGATACCTCGACTCTACGTGAAATTTAAATGAAATATTTATGCGTTTGGGAAAACAGCCTCGGGAAAATGTTTACGGACTCGTCAAGCCATTCTTCGAGAGTAGTTTCGTTTCGACGATTTTAATTCAAGAATAATTCGTTTTTCCAACTTATCTGTAATATTATCAATTCTACTCTATTATTAATCAGCTGGTCATTTGGACGGTTCTTAGCGAGAAAGTTAACATCGTTCAAACGGTGGGGTTTCAGAGAGCGAAAGAGGGAGGAAACTGGTATTTACTGCAAATGAACATCTACGTGCAATTACCGCTTACATCGGTGTGTACACAGTGGCAGGAGAAAAAACGCTGCGTTACTTAGGGGATTACGCGATGCTCCTCCGTTCATCCGGCTCGATAAAATCGCAAATACACGATCGCGACCGCGCCAGGGAAAACGGTAGGGCTTAACAAAAGCGGCAGGGGCTGTACATTCCGAAAGATTAGCGACAAAGAGACCCTTTGTCACAAACTTCTATCCAACCGACTATTTTTCTCTTTACCGTGTCTCTTTCGTTTTAACCCCTCGAGACTCGATACACGTGGACTATTCACATTTCCATCCAATTATTTTTTTTTTTTTTTTTCATTTTTGAATCGCTTAAAAAATAAATCCTAGTAATAGATCATTCGTGTAACGCGTTTATATGTATGCGCAGCGTCTCGCGAAAAGTTTTCGGTTTCGTGTGCATTTTGCCAAGGCAGGTGGTAAGGACGGCGCGACGCGGTCCTATGACTGGAAAGACTTTCACGAACTCCTAAGAAATTAAAGTTTCTTCGCGGAACTCTGCAGTAAGTCGTTCTCCGTTCTCTCCGTCGGTTTCGTTGTCGTCGTGGTCCTTGTAGCTGCGGTTTCGCCGGAAGTCCGAACACCGCGCGAGGATATTGCGGCAAAATAAATCGACCGTCTTACGTATGCGTCGACTGAGAGAAATTTTTCCACCTTTCTACCCTGAGATACGGCTGACAAACGTGTTGCGTTTCGAATCAATGAAATCATTTTAATTCGGTCGAGTAATTAAAATATAAAAACAGTTCTGACAATGAGTGGTTCTTTATGTACTTGAGTATTAACCAGCAGTTAAATAGCTTGAAAAGGGATTACGAAATATCACAGAGAGAAAAGTAAACGAAAATCCTGAAACTACCCCTTTGCGAAATTTCATTTATAAAAGAAACGCAGGTGAAACAAGTAGAGTAACGATCATTAAGACCGCGCTTTTCTATCTTTTCCTTCCGAAAAATGTCTACAAGCAGAATTTTTGATTCTTAAAAGGGTGCAAGGTTTATGCTAATGCAACGACGCGAATGCACGAGCCACGGAAGTGCAGGGCGTAACGAGAGGAAGTGAGAAAGAGCGTTCATATGACGAAGGTGAACGGGAGAAACATAGCAGGTAGGCAACCGGATGAATAAGAGAAAGTGAGACGGAAGGAAAAGCGTGCACGGCGCACGGAGGTAATGAAACGAATCAGTAACAGAGACGTTTACTGCGGCGCATGAGAAAGAAAACTCCGAAGAAAACTATTGCGGAAGGGGACGGGTGAAAAAAAGTGAAACGATTACGAGGAAAATGAGGCGTCGTGAAAACGAGCACGAAATGAGACGAACAGAGAAGGAGAAGGAAAAAGACAGGAAGGGCGTTTCATGGAAGCGGCTGTAACGGAAAGAAAAACGTCTGACCAAGAAAAATGGAGCAAACAAGAGAGACGAAGACTGGAACAGCGAAAATGTCTCTGTGTGTAGTACGACACATTATACAGTAGTAGCTAACTTGAAATTTGAAATTTGAAATTTGTTAAAGCCACGATGTGTAAATGAGGTCATAAAGGTAAAAGAAAAGGACGAACGAATATGGGGGCAGGTGTAAAAACGAGCAGATAAAACGACGTACTGACAGAATCAGGTGAAAGCTCGAGAGATATCGACAAGTCGGACACGTGCAATTGCTGTCGATTGTTCGATTTGAAAATCGCGGGCTTTGCGGTAGAAAGGTATTGGTATTATAGTAAAAATTTGAATTTTTTATTAGCGAAGGAATAAAAGAGTTCCATATTTTGTAATAAACGTTTAAAAAATCCCTCTCGCACGTGTAAGATCCCGAGGGAGAGAAGGATATTTGGGTGTCGAAGGGATAGAGAAAGAGGTTGAGTGGTGGGGGTAGTGGCGGGTATGCGCGCGACGCGGGACGCGCGGCAGGGGACGCGTGGCAACACGTTTGACGCAGCATCCGCGTGAAGTCAGTCGGCTGTCGGATCTCGTGCCGTGCACGTTAAAGAAGGCTTGTTCCTTGTTTATAATCGGTTGTGCTAACACGCCGTGAACCGCGTGGTTTTCTACGGAAGTTATTTAAGTGTGTTTTATCCAGTGCTATCGCGTTTACCTTGTTCTCTTCCATACGTGAATATCTTGTCGACGTTTGGGAGCAGCCAGAAAACTTGAGTTTTGGAGCAGTTCGATGGCTCGTGCAACGTGACAGACGAGGAAGGTCATTGGACAAGGAGACTACCGGTGAGTCAGCTTCTCATTTCATGCGTTATGATCGCGTCGTTGAAGCTCGTAATTATTTTCACCGAGAAACACGATACCAGACACTTCTTGTTTTTTAATTATCTTTGGAGTAAAATCGAGTTTGAAACTTCCGGTTCGTTAGACATTTCGCGGTCCGTCTATGCCGGAGATGTAAAAGCGTAGAATAAAGTTTGTCAGCGTTTAGATAGAACTGTGGATAGAAATGTAAACTGTGTAGTGCCGCGTTATATTCAACGAGAGACGAGTTATCTAGTTAAACCTCCGACGAGCAAAGTCCTGCTTTCCTTTACTGGCAAAGGAGGAAGAAGCGCATAAAGCTCGTGAACTATGTTAAATGCTTGTTGATCCGAATTCCGACGTGAATTCAGATCATGACGTGAAAACGTACGAGAAGTATCTGGTTTGAAAGAAATTCAGCGGTTCGTCGAATCGAAACGTAGTATGACTTAATAAACGCGAGTGACAGTCGGTATTGCAATTGCGTTGTGTCAGACCGCCGCATCGCGCCACGCCATGCCACGCGCGTCACGCCGCCATGCCAGTGTCACACGAGATATACGTCCTATACCTATTTCAACGTTCGTTGCCTACTTTTCTTTTAGCGATATGATACACGTATCGCGTTGAAGCGTTCAACAGGGACCGAAACATGCCCTTGCACTCCTCCTATATTCCTACACATATACTCGACTGTCCCGTTTTTATATAGTTCCCGTGACTTGTGACGTCTTAAAATATGGAGCTGCTCTGAACCGCGCTCACCCACCGTATCCACTATTTTCAGAGCCCCGCGCTATTTTTGCCTCGCGCCACCCTTAACGTAAACACATTTTTAACCGGAATTCTCTTTTGGGAGAGAGTATTATTGCGAGAAGCTACGTTTGTGCAGGAAATTTTTAATTTTATATTTTACATTATACGTATATAATACGCTTCTGAAATCGTGAGTTTTCAATTTTACATTAATATTCCTCGCTTTTAAAGTCTGTCATTTTGTTCGTCGAGCGCTTTATTGTTCCATTTATCAAAGGTCCAAACCCTTTAGGAGTTCTCTTTAGAATTCCTCCGGATTTTTGAATCGTCCATCGAAACTTGTGAAATTGTTGACGCGCGAAATTTCTATCCATCCATTTCCATCTGCTCCATCCCCTTCTGCCGATTGCCAGTCGATAATTAGATTCTTATATCAGCAAAAGTTTCAAGTAGGCGTCATTCTGTTAAGGCCGCGAAACATTTCTCGGCTCAGTGTCGTTGACTCCCACAAAGAAGGAGAACCCGGTTCGTTCGCTCCGACTTTCTTGCTTTTTTTTTTTTTTTTACTCTCGTACCACGTTCCTTCGCAGCCCTGTCGACGATAACGTGTCTGGTACCTTTGCTTTTCTTCAAAACATTACTGCATTGCACCCTCCGTCCCGGCCAACGAGTTTCATCGAAACGCTTTGTTTGTTCCTGTTTTTACTCGCCTCCACGATGTTTGCCTTACGATTGCTCTTTCCAGAAGTTTCGACAAAGTTTTCGTTGCTACGAGGAAAAAATGATAATTTCGTTGGAGAATTCTGGTAATTCTACTTTTTATGCGACTTTTCAAACCGTTCAAACCTCCATGTTCATGGAGGATGTAATTTTCTTGTTATTCTTGGAATAAAGTGGTAGAAACGGTTGGTGTTTCTACGAACCGCTCCATCGTCAAATCAATCCGAATAAAAAATCTTATATAAACGAGCAAGTTAATTCGCAAAGAGTAAGAATAATGATAATTGCCAATTTGCAAAATTATTGTTTCGAAAAGGTTTCTCTAGAATACAGTTTGTTCGAAGAATTTTGTACATGTTGTTTCAAAATCAAAGTTTCAAACGAAATTCGTAAAACTGCGTTAGATAAAAATTCTGCTAGGATAAAGTTGGAAATAGTTGGAGCCGTAGGGGTAGTAGCCCCATGGTTCGTTCGGAAACATGATTTTCCTCCCACCGATTTCACTGCATAATCCTCTCGGGACTGCAACCCCCGCATCTTTCCTTTCGATACTGAACGAAAAAAAGAACATTTTTCTCTTCGGTATATCTTTGATATTTTCAAGATTGTCAATTTACGTGTATAATTAATTTCAAGGAGACTTGAAAAATGGGGAAAAGAATGCGTTTCTTAGAAAGCGATCGAATTGGTTCTCGTTGGAAATGAAAGATAAAGCGTGGCAAAGGTCAAAGGGGAAATGGATTGTCTCGCTGACTATCTGCTACTGCACTCCCACAGAATTATGTCAGCTGGAAATGTCCTTTGAACCGGTTGATGCGTCTCGATATCGTTCACTGTATTAAACCGCACAGAGTACATAGTATAGACTACAGAGCAGCTTTTATGGGTCGAATCGTGGTATGCGATGGCGTCGTTGCTTCAGAAATTTATGTGCCGTAAATTTCATTAGATATTGCTCGATAAAACGAAAAATGATTCACTGTTTTCCTTTCAACGTTTCGGCAACGAAATCTTCTGATATACAGAAGGCGTATGAAAAAGATGGTACGCGCATCATCGATACTTGCTTTATCAAATTTTCTCGACGAAAGAGTTTAACAAGCAATATCGTAATTCAAATATGTATTCAGAGAAACTGGAGTTTGCCAGTTTTAGAGGGTAAGAGTAACTTTCACCCCAGCGAGAATCCCGGAAAATTCTACGAATGCTTGAATGAAGAGCTTCTGGCGCCTCTCTCATAATCGTAAACACTGACGTGAGAACGCCGCTGGAAAACAAACTTCTGCCGTAGCATCAATCCTGTGATAACGCATTTAAGCTCGGGTTAATCCGCATTGTTATTTCTTTCGCCGGTTATCACCGAAAGTCCTCCTAGCACCACTTTTTCGCGGTACTATGCGGTATCGCAGCCTATACTTTCCTGCGTATAATGCATTATTAAAAGTAAAAATAGTTAGTTTCCAAAGTTGAACCTTTCTATTTGCTAATTTCAGGTATCGATCAACGAATGACTTATTATTAAACTATTCTTTCTTTGTAAAATAAAAGGTTAATTTACGTATAGGTATATGTCGTATAAATGGAGATATATAAATGTTGTAGAAGGAAAAATAGCTCAGGGCAAGGAGATAGCACTTGCTCGAAAAATACTCTCCACGGGACAATAATCGCGAAAGACAGAGTTATAGGGGCTAAGATAAACGTAAGAATGGTAGATAGAGTGGTACTGTCTCTGAATTATTACATACTACTTCTCAAATTTCTCGGAAAATATCTTTTTATGCGAAAGAGTTGGATGATACAGCTAGTAGAATAAGTAAATATAAATGATACGGTGCACGAGTAGTAATTAATGTTAGAATTTAGGTGAGTTATCGATCACGGAGTGGTACGGAAATCAATGTCGTAGCCTGACTCGAGTACACATAATCAAGGGTCAAATTAATTAACAGCATCGTGGAAAATTTATCGCTGAAAATTACCTTGGTAGCAAGACGAGCCCTCATTCTGTTCTAATAATACGCGATTAAACGAGCCGCATTCTCCGACCCACTTTCATCCACCCTGTTCCAGTACGACGCCACTTTCCTGGCCATCGTTAAGAGTCTCGCGAATGAAAATGAATTTCAAGACCGCAAAGAACGTTCGACGAGAGTCCTCTCGATTTCATCCTCCTCCTCCTCCTCCTCGTCCTCGTTGCCAATTGTTTGTGCTTGCAGTTCCATTCGAAATTGTTTCGAAATTCACGACGCCTGAAGAGGGTGAGAGAGGGTCGTTCGACACGGTTAAGGCCGTTTTCCTTTATGTTAAACCCGACGATACGGGCTGAAACGAGCTACTGAACTCCACTTTGCTCTCTTATCCTCTCAAAGACCTTGCTCAGTTTGCCATTTTATTTCTCTTTCTCTTTCTCTTTCTCTTTGCTTTACACAACACTTGCGTATTTTGTTTTTCGCACTGTCAGCCCTCTCTAGTAATCTCTTTTTCTCTATCTTTCGCCTTTATTACCTTGCACATTTTCTTTTCTTTTCATTACTTTTCGTTTTGTCTCTCTGACAATGAGAAGGTGTTACGTCTTTTCTCCTCTTTTTCTTCCTATTTCGAAATTTTTCTTTCACTATATTAACTATTCCGTTTGTATTCGGTGTATGTATGTAAGTACTTGTTTCTGTACAGAGTGGACCAGGTTGGCTGTTTTTTGGTTTCTCTTCCATCTGTGCACCCCTTTTTACGTTTCTTTCTCATCTACAACGTTTTGTACTTGTTACCTGTTGTCTCTTCCGCTTTACCACCCTTTTTTCCCCTCCATACACGCTTCCGTAGCCTCGTACGTCTCTGTTTTTCTACGTCTCGCTTTTGTTCACGTGTAAACACGTTTTTCACCCTGTTTCGCGTGACCTTAACTACCCCTCTGTTCGCTGTATTCCTCTTTTCCATGTCTTTGTACGCGTAAAATTTTCCGAAGTCAAATCGATTAACCCTTGCACAAATTGAAATTCACTTTTTCTCACTTCTTTTCACAACTGTGACCAGTGTACTTTATTGTTCTCTATTTTGTCGCTTCATGTGCTCTCCTTTTCCCTTTGCTTTTTCTATCGTTTCTTTCTTTCTACGTCCTTTTCTGCCAAGTGTTTGTCTAACAGGCAATTGTCGAGGCCACGTGTCACCCTTGATTCCTCTCCTTTCTTCCCTTTTCTCTGGCATCGTATCTCTTAAAGTCTATAAAATAGAAAGTTCATAAATCAGTGTTTACTGCCACAGTAGCAAACGTTCGTAATCGTTCGTTTATAAATTATTCGTAATCTCGTTTTCACCATTTCGAACCGATTCGCCAGAAAATTAGACTGGTTTCGGTATTCGGTCATTCAGGGTTCAAGTAGAGTTCAAGGAGATAAAGGTGGAGGAAGATGGGGCCTAGTTTGAAAAATTCAGCAGTCTCTGTCGTAAAAACGGAATCGAGATTTTACGAGTCGAAATGCGAAGGTGGCGTGTATAACTATGTATAC